GCTCAAGTGGTAGAGCGCTAGCCTTGAGCTGAAGAGCTGAGGGACAGTGCCCAGGCCCAGAGTTCAGGCCCCACGACCGGACCCAAAAAAAAAAAAAAAAAAGAGCACCAGAGCCAGAGAGTTACAGTAGCTGAGTTCTACTGTCAGCCTGACAGGGTCAGGAAGCCCCTTGGGCCACAATTCAGATGCCTCTGACTATATACCTCAGTTTCCTCATCTGTAATGTGGGCCTTAGATTAATACTTTGTGGCACCTTTGGAAATAGTGTGATCTACTCAGAAATTCAAGTGATAACTACCAAATAATCAAGCAGTTCCACTCCAAGGCATCTAACTAAGAGAAATGTTATCATTCATGCACTCAAAAACTTGTATACAAATACTCATTTTTATTAGTATTGTTATTTGTCTTTTGTTGTTCAACGAAGGACAAAACAAATGCACCTATTCATATAATGAATTATCTATTCATAATAAACCTAACATGGATGATACAATGAAGCTGCAGCATGGATAAACTGAAAATATTTTCTGCCTGAGCTGGCTTTGAACTCATCAGCCATCCAAGTGCCTGGGATTCCTGGTGTGTGCCATCACATTCACTAAAGGGTGGGTGAATGTCAAGCACACGATCATTGCAGCAGAATATATACTACTCAAAAGGAGGATATATTCAGCTAAAAGAAAAGAAGAGAAAAGAAAAAAGTAGTAAACCTTCTTATCTCCAAAGAAATCACAAAAACCACTTCCTCAGGCCAGGTGTTGGTGGCTCATGCCTCTGATCCTAGCTACTGGGGAGACTGACATCTGATGGCCGGGGTTCAAAGCCGGCCCCGGGCAGGAAAGTCAATAAGACTCTTATTTTCAATTAACCACCAAAAGCCAAAAATAGCACTGTAGCTCAATGTGGTAGAGTGCTATCCTACAGCACAAAAGTTTAGGGACACCACCTGGCCTTGAATTCAAACCCCAGGATTGGCATGCACACAAACACACACACACACACAATTTCCTTGAACCACTTAACTTACACACAGTAACATCATGCATGGCTTCTTTATATCTCTTCCTTTTTAAGAGGAATATTTTGAAACTAACACCAAGAACATACCGAACAGAAGAACAGTTACTGATCACCATAAATCTCTATACGACAGAAGTATGAGGCCAATATTTGGGGTTAATGTGTTCAAGAAAACTGAGGATGGGTTGATGTGACCACTTCATCGACACAAAAGCCTTCATCTTGATCGTTTAATAAATCACTGATTTCTCTCAAGGTCAGATAAGAAAATCAAATGCAATTCCATCCGTTTACCATGAATTAGTGTTGCCTTTCCCAAACAGATGTTCCTTACCTGTGGGAGCCTTTGTGTTGGCCTTCCTGCTCTCCCTGGCCCCCTTCTGGGCCCACACATCAACCTTGTACTCCACTCCCGGCCTCAGGCCTGTCAGGACGGTGCTGGTCCTCTTCCCCACTGGAATCTCCTTGGTCTCTCCATCCGCAGAGGTGTAGCGCACCACATACCTATCAATGTCAGCCTCAACTGGGTCCCAGGACAGGGTGGCAGTGTTCTCTGTCACTTGCTTAGTCTTCAAGTTTTTGGGGCTGTCAATGTCTAAGAGAAAAAGTGCTGCATCATCAAGTCTAGTAACAGGCACACAGAGAGACCATTCTCTTGAACTGAGAGAGTTTCTGCCCTTCCAATTCACCCGTCTCGTACATTGTTTCTCAGTCATTTCATGGTCAGAGACCTTGTCATCATGACAAAACCCTTGGCTCCTTGGGAATAGTACAGACAGCGGAACCAAAGCCGGAGTTACAGGGCCTAGGTTCTAGTGTCAGTCTAAGTGGCAGACATGAGGGGCAAGAAACGCTTCGGACTCTGATCACAAGACGGAGTTTTACCTCAGCTTTGTCATAGCTCAGCTATGGCCTTGGACAAGTCAGCTACCTCAGTTTCCTCATCTGAAAACATGGGCATAAATTTCAAGGCACCTTTAAAAATAGTACAGTTGTACTCAAGAATTAAAGTTAGAATTACCAAATAATCAGAAAATCCTACCTCAAAACATATACCTAACAGAAATTATGACATTTGTATATACAAAACTTGCACACAAATTGTTTTTAGCACTAGCATTCCTAATAGTCGAAGAGTGGAAATAACTTAAACATTCAACATAGGACCAATGGATAAACAACGGTGCCTACCTATACAATGAAGTACTTATTCACAATAAAAGTAAGAGTTGACCCATGCTACAACAGGGATGAACTGGAACATACATTTCATGAAAGAAGTTGGTAACAAAAGGCCACATATTAGAGGATCCCACATAAAAGGAATATCCAGAAAAGCAAAATTAATACAGACAGAGCAGTTGTTACTTATCGGAGGTACTGAGCATAGAGCATGACTGGAAATAGACACGAGGTTCTTTCTGTTGGCAAAATTTATCTAAATAAGGCAGACACCAGTGGCTCTTGCCTATAACTGTAGCTACTCAGGAGGCTGAAATCAGAGGATCAGTTTGAAGCCAGCCAGGCAGAGAAGTCCATGAGAATCTTATCTCTAATTAACCAACAAAAGAACCAGAAGTGGAGCTATGGCTCAAGTGGTAGATCACTAGCATTGAGCAAAGAATCTCAAGGATAGTGCCAGGTCCAGAGTTCAAGATCCAGGATTCACACACACACACACACACACACACACACACACACACACTAATTTTAGTCGTTGGTAATGGTTGTGCAAATGTGAATATAATGAAATTATTAAATTACATACTTTAAAGGGCAAATTAATTTTTTACACTCTTGGGGATTGAACCCCAGGCCTAGAATATGTTTGGCAAGCACTCTATCCCTCGAACAATAACCCAGCCCTTATGTTGTTTTTCCTAAATTTTCCTGACTTCCAGCTCAAGATAGTCCTGTCTCTGCCTTCCAAGTAGATGGAATTACAAGTGTGCATAATTCAGCTAAAGGGTGAAGTCCAAACACAGGATGTCCAGAGAAGACTATACTGCATTTGGCATACTCTGTTCTAAAGACATCGCAACATAACACACATGGCTTCTGTATCTCTTTTCCTTTATGAGAAGAATGCTTTGAAAGTTACTGCAGTGAAATGCACCATGGAAAAGCAGTGACCAGTCACCATGAATCTGTATAAGAGCCAAGTATGCGGCTGATATTTGGGAATACTGTGTTAAAGAACATGCAGGAATGGGATGGTATGACCACTTTACAACTGGCTTCGGACCCACCAGGAAAAGTCTAACAGATTATTGATTTTTGGCGTGGGTGAAGGTGAGAGGAGGAAAATCACATTTTCCCATAAGCTTGCCATGACAAGGTGTTGTTGCTTTCCCAAACTCTGATGTCCATTACCTGTGGGAGCCTTTGTGTTGACTTTCCTGCTCTCCCTGGCCCCCTTTTGGGCCCACACATCGACCTTGTACTCCACGCCTGGCCTCAGGCCTGTCAGGACGGTGCTGCTCTTCTCTTTCCCCACTGGAACCTCCCTGGTCTCTCCATCCGCAGAGGTGTAGCGCACCACATACTTATCTATGTCGGCCTCCACTGGGTCCCAGGAAACGGTGGCAGTGTTCTCCGTCACCTGCTTGGTCATCAAGTTTTTGGGGCTGTCAATGTCTGCAAGAGAAAGTTCTGATCAGTAAATTCTAGTCACAGGCACAGTAGGGAGAGACCATTTTCTTGGACTGTGAGTGTTTCCTGTTCTTAGGGTTTGATCAGCTCATATTTGGTTTTCAGTTGGTTCATGGACTCCACAGCTGGAGTTTTGGCTCCTCAGGGAGGCAGCACAGACAGTGGAATGAGCATCGCAGCTGGAGTGAGAGAGCCTGGGTTCTAGTGTCAGCCTGACAGGCAGAGATGAGAGGAGGAGGCAGCGGAGACTTCAGTCATCAGGCCATGACTCTTACCCCAGCCTGCCATCGGTCAGTCCTGAGCAACTCAGCTGCCTCTCCCTGTGCTTCAGCCTCTTCACTTCTAAAATCTGCTATTACTTTGATTTTCAAGCTTTTTCAAACATTAATATTCCAGGAGTACATCTACCTGCATAATTTGCTGACTTGTTTTCTGACCTTGTGTGTGCTGCTTCACTTACTTCTATATTTATAAAAATCAAGATGTTACAGCTATTGTACAGATCTCTGTGCTTAGATCTGTAAAGCAAAATAAAATGATGCAGAAAAAAATTATGGCACAGAGACACCTGGGATGTAGAAATAGGAGGATCATGGATCCAGGCTGTCCTAGGCAAAAAGTGAAACCTATTAGAAAAATGATTAAAAGTGAAAAAGTGTAAGTACCTTGATTGGGTGGTAGGGCACCATGATTTCAAACAAAGTACCACCAAAAAAGTAAGAATAATAAAATATTATAATTAAGAAAAGGGATTTTGTGCAAGTTGTGTTTGTTTTGTGTAATGCTTTGTGCTTCAGAATGGAAGCAGGAGGATCTCAAGTTCAAGGCCAGCCTGGGCCACCTAATGGGACCGTGTCACAAATAAGCAACCAAAAGTAGAGGAAGCATTTGAAAATGTTAAAGTATGCCAACCGTTGCATCTCTGAAGCCAAAGAATAGCCACTCTGTAATTCAAAATGCAATAAAGAGTAAACCATCTCTGAAGCCAAAGAATAGCCACTCTGTAATTCAA